GGGGGGAGTTCGACCAGGAGGTGCATAAAAAGCTTATAACTGAATATGAATAGGCTGTGTATGAAGTGATGGAATTCATTATATGAAAACAATGCGGAATCAAAAAAATTTCACAAAATAACAGTCAAACGCAAAAGATTTGTGTGGTTTGGTGTTAAGATGATTCTCCTACATCCATGGGAAGGGAGATTCTACTAACACTGGATTGAGAGAGGAAAAATGGCTTAAGGTTACAAATTTAACACTTCTCATCATATCTTTCTCATGAACCCTAAGTCCCTTTTATGGAGGAGGATTTGGGCAAACAAGCAAATAAAAACAAAAGACAATTTACCCTTAATTATAATAATATCCATAAATACAATAATCTCCACCTCATCTCTTCCAAATAAATGAGAGATGACTAAATGAGCTCCAATTTTAGCTGCACCAAAATGGTTGCCAACATACCCCCCTCTTGAAGGGATCAAGCCCCATGTTGTTCTTCAAAATGCCCTATTATGCAATCAATCTCAAGCTAGGATGTTTACCAAACTTCTACATTAAGTGAACTTCTATATTTTTAGTACATTTGCGAGCATGCTCATTGGATTCCATTTTGTATCTATGTTCTTCAACAAAATCTTGTTGTCATCAATCAAGGCTTGAATAAGTGATACTTCACATCAATGCGCTTGATACAAATATGATTTGTTGAATTATAGCCAAGAATATCACACTCTAATTATCACATAACACCTTTAGAGACTTCCGATCAACTCCCAAGTCATTTAATAAGCCTTACATCCATAACACTTCCTTCATCGCTTCCGTGATTATCATGTACTCAGCATCTGTAGTAGACAAAACAAAAGTAAACTGAAGAATTAACCTCCAACTTACTAGACCTCCTACAAATGTAAATAATTAATCAGTCGTAGAACTTTTTCTATTCATATCACATGCATAGTCTGGGTTAGTGTAGCCTACACACAAATCTGTAATAGATGATTGCCTCTCAAACATAAAGCCTACATCAACTGTACCCTTCAGATATCTCAAAATACTCTTCACAGTCTCCTAATGTTTTCTTTCTGGATCATGCATAAACTTTTTCACAACACTAACTACTTGTACAATGTCTGGTCTAGTACAAACCATGACATATATTAGATTGTAATGTGCTACAAGTACTAAGAGAACACAAATTAAGGGATTCTTGACCACTGCGGAGGACATATCGTTATAATCAATCCCATCTCATTGCGCAAAGTCTTTTGTCACTAATCTTGTCTTACACCACACATAAGCTCCATGAGTTCCTTATTTACATACAATCTTTTTCACCTGGTGGCTTTTCTTCTCAGAGGAAGCTTCACCAAATTCCAAGCACTATTCTTTTGAAGAGACTACATCTCATCAACCATTGTCGCTCTCTAAAATTCACAATCTAGGCTCTCCACCGCTTTTTTGTAGTGATAAGAAATTTTTGCCTTCGTGGCTAAAAGTAATGCAATGTGATCCCTCAACCAAGCTAGTTTTGGGACATTCGGGGGCCTAGTTCTACTTCTAGCACTAGACACCTAAGTAGGAATCTCATCCTCAACAACCTCTTCCACCACCTTCTGAGCACTATCAACAGATACCTCCTAAGTTGCAATTGAGTCAGTTATTTGATTTGGAGTGGACAAACTCTATTGAACAAATAGACTTACATCAAACTTCAACTTCTACTGCATATTTGTGGTCTTAGTAGAACTATCCACCCGTTGTAATTCTCAATTTTTTAACAAGCTTGTCTCATTGAATGTAACATTCTTGCTAATGACAACCTTCCTTTCCAATTGATCATACAATTTGAGGCTCTTGAATCTAAGCCTAAAGCCAATGAAGATTGCATTCTTTGTTCGTGATTTCATTTTATCATTATGCACATGGTAGTAAGTTGGACACCCAAATACTCTCATGTGCTCATAATGTCTAGTAGGATACCCTGACCAAATCTCCTTTGGGACCTTCTTCCCAATAGCTACAGAAGGCAGACAGTTTACCAAGTGACATGCATAGTCTATGGCCTCAGCCCAATAAATTATATCCAATCCAATATTGGAAAACATACACCAAACTTTCTTCATCAAAGTCTGGTTCATCCTCTCTACCACCTCTTGCAATAATACGTTAGATCTTTTTGTCGGTCTGAATCTTAATTCATTTCTTCCAAATTATGAAAATCTCTTGCACCTAGCTTTTGCGTTCATGGTTTACAACCAAACATTTTGGAATAATCATTAATAAAAGAGATAAAGTATCTCCACCCGCTGGATGATGTTGCCTTTATCGGGTTCCACACCTCTATGTATACTCTAAAATATATTTTATATTGTGGATGATAGTACCAATAGATACACGTGTCTTCTTTCAAAATACATCATATTCACATAAATCAAGTGTTTTCTCCTTTAATTAATCCTTATTTCACCAAATTTTGAAGTGAAGCCTCTCTAGCACGAGCTATCCACATATGCCACAACATAGTGGTATCAGAAGAACCATCAGTACAATAGTCATTCCAGTCGCTATACTACCTTGAAGATAATAAAGATTATGATAGTGAACTCTCTTTATAAAAATCATTACTCCATGGGATATTCTCACAACTCCTATTGCAACAACTATCTTGTATCCTTTGGAATTTAAAACCTCAATTGACAACAAATTCTTTCTGATATCTAGAACGTGTTTAACATCGGTCAGCTCCCTCACAGTACCATCATGCATCCTGACAAAGATAATCCCTACACCAATAGTACAACAAACTTAATCATTGCCCATTGTCACTACACTGCTATCCAACTCCTTGTAAGTGCACAACTACCATCTATGAGGACAAATTTGATAGGTAGCACCTGTGTCTAGAATCCAACACGAATCATCTATAAATAAACTTTGAGAAACTGTAGATAACAATACATCTGAATCAGTCTCCACACATCTTTTCACAATGAAATTAGTTTTTTCTTTATATGCAACTTCTTTTCCCTTCTCCTTCAATGTGAGACAAACATTCTTCCAATGATCAATCTCTAAACAAAAATCACACTAATTTTTGCCACCTTTGTTTGTAAAACTCTCCTCAGATTTTCCACTGTGGAGTGTAAGTGTCTTAGCTGACTCCATCTTTGTGAACTCCTTGTCCCTTCAACAGAACTCATGATTCAACAACTTCGTTGAAACTTCACCATACTTCAAGATATCATTCCCATGAATGAGTGTCATCATGAAGTTTTCGTACTCATCCGAGAGCAAATTCACCAAAAGAAATGCCTTCTCTTCATCTCCAACCTCCAAATTCAAATTTAATGGATATGATAACATCTTTGTGAAGTCATTCAAGTGTTCATCAATAGTAAACTCTTAACTCACTTGAAATTTGTAGAGTCCACGCTTCATATGGAATGATTCTCCACGTTCATTACGAGATATTTGTTCTCTAACATATTCCATAATATCCTTGCAAAAGTCCCTATCATTTCCCCATATTTGTTCACTTGGGTCAAGAAATTTCAAATTAAGCCACAACCACTCCAGTTCATCCTCAACCAATCACTCTCTGACATCTCTTCATCGCTATCCAAGACTTTCTCTAGATTCAAAGAGCACGACACATCCATCACCTCACATTGATACATGCCAAAGCTTCCTGTATCGTCGAATTTCATTACAACGATTTTGATGGGATGCAAACCATCAAATGAATCTATTTTTTCACCCCCATAATGAACATTGAAGAACCTGACATCGTGGTTTCAATGTTAAAATCTCTTTCCTGTTAATCTTTTCATCATTCTCAGTATTTCTTCGCATGCTTTTCCATGGTCTTTTTCAAGCTATTGATTAATGCTTTTATCTAGATTAGTATTAAACAAAAACTAATTCAACAATAATAACAAAGCCTTAATCCCACTGTGGGGTTGACTACTCAATCCTTTTTCTCCGTTGCATCCTATTTAGTGTTATATTTTCATTTAATTCTAATAAATTAAGATCTTTTTTATACAATAAGCCCAAGTCTTCCTAGATCTACCCGTCTTTCTTAACATAAGTTAAATCTAAAACATCTACTCTCCTAATTAAACAAAAACTAATTTATCAAAATATTATCATAAGGGTTGTTTGGAATTACTTCTTATCTTTTTTTATCCTATGCTTTTATTTTATTTATATTTTAATTTGAAACAAGACATATTTAATATTTTTTTATTAAGATATGACTTTTTTAAAATATTTAAAATTTATAAAAATTATTTTAAATGTTTTCTAAAATATGCTTGCTTATTTTTTTTTTGAAACAAAAAATAAAAAAATAATATCACATTAAACAAATATATTTTTATAAACAAAAAAAATAAAAAAAAAATAATCCCAAACAATCCCTTATATTTCAAACATTTATATCAAATCTTCAATTCAATCGTTCAAACCACTAAATCGAAACTACCGTCAGCTTCCTTCTCTGTTAAACAAAATAAGTGAATAGAGTTTCATGGAAGACATTTGGATGTTTAAGAGTCGAGTCGGATTTCAAATTGTTGAGCTAATATTAAGCATTCAAAATACTTGTAAAAAAACAAAAAAGCCCCGCTAAAAAACTCATCTCCATTCACTTTAATCCAAAAATAAACATAATTAATTACTGAACAAAACTAATTTAAATTTAATCAGTTCAAAAACTGCTTTGAACGCATGAAACAAATGAACAACTAATTACGATTTTAATCAAATAAAAACACTAACATAGCACAAAAAGACTTGTGAACTGCAGTAGCATGAGATGTTAGATGTTTTTCAAAACTCTTCAAATCTTCTCAATGATTTGAAGAAAAAAAAAATGCTAATTTAATTTCCACATTGAAAACAAGTAAAAATGATTTCATCATTACTTGAGATATATTTTATATTAACAAGCAATCATATGAACACTATAGACAGTTTGTCGACTCATCCATATGCTTCTAAAGTCATCACGAGTACACAAATTACTGTTGCTAAGAAAAATCCTCAAAGCTTGATATTGGGAAAAGAAAAAGAAGAAGAAATAAAAAGGGTGCTTACATACATACCACTGAATTAACTTAAATATCTATATAAACCGCCTACAAAAATCGTCAAATTCATATAAGAGATAAAAGAATAGAACAAACTGGAGGAAAAACAAAAGGAAGGAGTTCCTTTCCAGAGACAAGCATTAATAAGCTCAGAATAGTCATGTTGATTGTTGACGTTGGCTCTCACAACCGGGGCAATTATGCAAGCTCTCGTGGATGTAGATATCACAGTCAAGGCAGAAATGTTGGTTGCACTTTGGGCATGAGACATGGGGATTGGATTTGCTTCCTGTGTATTATAGGAGAATCAATGTAAAAAATTGAGCATTTAGATACATATCGAATAATTTTTATGGATTTACATATATGACACCTAAGCATTCCTAGTTACATGCAGACCACTCAAATATTTAACATCAAATAAAAAATATCACTGTTGCTATTTTTTGAAAAGTGAAATGCAACATATCTCTCTTTTGTAGCTTTATGACACCAAGATGTTATGAGTGTAAATATCAAACTTTAGGTATTAGATATGTAAATACATAAGAATTGTGTGGTTTGTATATAAATTTTCCAAAAATTAAAAAATCAAGAAATCGTGGTTATTGAAAATTGAAGATGATGAAACAATGAAAGTTATGATAGTTGAGAGTCTTATCTAAAAAGAGAGCCTTCCATTGGAACTTTTATTGAACACTAATATGAACCAGTATCACCTAAATTTGATCAGCCCCCTAAAATATGTCTTCGACGAAAACATTTGTGCTTGTATCAAATTCTCACAGTTCTCATATCAATAATGCATTTATAAATTTGGGTTCAACCCAATATGGTTTTTAAGCTCGCAGCAGTTAATATTCCAGCCTTCATGCTAGAACTGAAGGATAAAAATTGGTAAGGTAGGTATTCAGCTTTGGAAAATATTTTCAATAATATAAACATGGATCATGAGCGTAAAGATATAAGTATGGGCTTTTCAAATAAGAAAGAATAATGTGGGTCAAATATAAACTGAGAGCAATTAAGGAAAAAATGACATGTATTCCACTTATTATCTATAAAACTAATGCTCAAATTTTGAAAATAAGCTTCTAAATTTTTATATTTATGACAATCAAATTATAAGAAATTAATTGTAACGGTTATGTTACATTGGGGGAGGAGTAACCATGAATCGACGAAGAGGGAGGGTCAGGTGAATGAAAAGAAGGGGGTAATGAAGCGAGAAGGTCAACAAGCCAAAGAGAGGAAAAGGAAACAAAGAGTCACACAAGGAGAAAATTGAGGCGAAGAGTTGAAGAAACCGAAGGTTACTTTCGCCCTATAAAAGAACGTGTTTGAGGGAGGCAACAGTGAAAAAGACCTAAGAGTCAAACAGTGAGGGAGAAATCCTAGCCGGCAACGAGGAGGCTTGAGGAAGCATCGTCTTTGAGCTTCAAAATATTCGGTGCGTGTGAGACTAATCTTGAATTGGTCAATTGAATTGATTACACAATTAGTGGCTTCATAATGGGCATGAGCATGAGTTGATTACTCAATTAGCATGAGTTGATTACTCAATTAGTAGAATAAATATAGGTTTATAATAGGAGCAAATTGATGGCACTTAATGTCTGCGATTATTGTGTACATTTTTCATTTTATTACGTTATGCATTGGTTAGTATAAATTGGTTGTTATGTTACAATGTAAGACTCTCTTAAGACCTGTATTATTCCTTCTTCAAATAATAGAAAAAAATTTCTCGAAAGTTTATTCTTATTTCTTCTTTTCAATTTGTCATTCAGCAATTCATTAACTTGAACTAACATTTGGTATCAAAGCCTGGTTCGAGAGGTAGAGCAGGCAACTCACGATGCCATCTGCGAACGCTCGGTGCGGAAGGCTGCTGGGAGCGAACGCGGAGGTTTCGGAGGGGAAGGCCTGCAAACCAGATTGCTGTCGGAAAGCCCCGACAGGCAGAACATGAGGTTCGCGATAATATTTGCGAACAACAAGGTTCTACGGAAGAAGGTTTGCGTTCGCGGTAGAGGAGCTAGCGAACAGAGCCAACAGTTCTTCCGTTTTTCGCAAAACAGTATTTCACGGTGCTTCGAAGGAGCAGAGAAGGATCATGGGAGGAGGAAAATTGCGAACTAGCGATTCGCTCGACCAGGGACAAGCGGGAGGAGGAAATCGCGAGACAGGAGATCTCCCGTCTGCAGCTTCGGAGGAGGCAAAATCTCATACGGAACCCTCGGGAGGAGGAAGGGTTCGGGCGGCAACAAAGGATTCGCAGGTTTCGCGAACAGGCACGGTTTTGCAGAGGAGAGTATCGTTCGCGGGAGATTGGGCTCAGATCGTTCGCGATAGAGGAGAATCACGGCACTTGCAGAGGTTGGCATGCAGTTTGCGAGGCTCTGCGAACAGAGGGTTGGCTTCGGATTCGTGCGAAATTGAAGAGTTCTCCTTTGGGAAGAAAGGTGTTCGCCGGAGGTTATGGCAGGACAGGGCTTCGATTTGCGGGAGCAGCAGTTACGGGAACCGTCTTTTTTTCCCTTTCTCTCCGTCTCCACAAGCTGAAGCCCAGAAGGAATATTGGAGGAATATTGAGGAATATTCCTAAGCAAGGAGAGGATATTCTCTTCCTGCAGTCAGTCAGAGGAAGGAATAATAAAAGAATATTTCATTTCCATCTAAGGAATATTCAGTTTCCTCCTGAAGAGGCGAATTTCCTTTGTAAAGGAAGAAGGGAATAAAAGAATCTCCTATTTCCTAGCTGAGGAGGAGAATAGAAAGAGGAAGTTCCGAAGTTGGCCTTGGGCAAGTTCCAAATTTCCTTTGCTGGAAAGAGAATCTTGGCTGGGAGAAGAATTAGAAGGCAATTTTTTTCAAATTTCCTTTATCGGGAGGTGCGAAAGATTTATTTTCTGGAGGCCGCAAAATATTCCTCTAATTTTATTCCTTTTGCTGCTGTGAAGAAATTTACAAGGCAGACAGGCTCGCGGGAAGAACACGAAGGATTTTGAAAAAAACTCGCAATAGATTCAGCTCAGGGAAGTTCCGGACTGCTTGCGGAAAGTTATCTCCGGAGGCTGCGGAGAGGAGGTCCGGCGAGGAACAGAAAGGTTTTTGTTTCGTTCTGTTTGGAAACTGCGGGTCAAGCCGCAAGCAGCAATAGATTTAGCTCGCGAACGGGTGTCTTGAATCGCGACAAAGGAGGTTCGGGCGGAGTTCAGCGTAGGACCAGGTTGTGCGCGGCGGAAGTTCGTCCCAGGCTTGTGCGCGGCGGCGAGGTAAAGCGCGAACAGAGCAGTTTGACTTCTGCAGAAGAGGGAATAAGGAATATTTCTTCCCAGGTTCCAATCGAGCGGTGCAGAGGTGGAGTTCCGCGAAGCAAGAGAACGATCGAGTGAAGCGGGATCGCGGGAAGCAGGTTGTTCGCGAATCAGAAGGCTGACCAAGGTGTTCGTGAGAAGGGCTTAGGCGCGGCGGGGGAGTTTCGAATCGAGCTGTGCAGAGGTGGAGTTCCGTGAAGCAGGAGAACGATCCAGTGAAGCGGGATCGTGGGAAGCAGGTTGTTCGCGAATCAGAAGGCCGACCAAGGTGTTCGCGCGAAGGGCTTAGGCGCGGTGAGGTTCACGGTAGATCGAACGAAGCAGATAGTTGTTCGAGCAGGGCCTGCAGCGAAGGAGCACGGTGTTCGCGAGAGGCGCTGCGGAAGAGTCCGGCGCTGGAGGCGGAGAAGAGAGGGAATCTTGGATTCCTAATAGGAGGAATATTCCCTCTCAATTAGGAAATTCTTGCTGCAGAGGAAAGGAAATTCCTAAAAGGCCTTATTATGAAAACTAATTAATTTCTGGTGGGATTGGCAATTTTTATTCTGAGAGAAGAAAACTGTCTTTATCGGAAAGTCAATTAAGGCAAATTCTTAATTAAGGTAAGATTGCTGGAGAAAAAATTCTTGGAAACTTAATTAAGACAAATACTTAATTAAGGGCCTAATTAAAGGAATTCAATTCCGGGAAGCAAAATTAAGGGAAATATTTAATTGGAAATATTTCAAACATTGAAATATTTCAAACATTTCTGCGGATCAAAAATTTCCTTTCGCTAAGGAAGGCGAAGACGGAGAACGGCCGAGGGCTCTCCCCAGGATTCGGCGCTGAGAAGGGACAGGGACTCCAACTTTGGAAGTTGGAAGGGAATCGAGAAATATTCTCTCCTGAAAAAGGGAAGCAAGGCAAGCTCGGCAAGGAATCAAAATTCCTCCCTAATCAGGGAATATTCCCCGTTAATCGAGGAAATTAATGGCACAGAGAAGGAAGGGCTTAATTAAGGAAAGCTTTTCTGCTGTTGATTGCGGAGAAGGAAAGAATTAATTAAAGAGAACTTTCTGCTGTCGAACGCGAAAAAGGAAACTGGTTTTTTCAAGGAAACTTGATTAAGGAGAATACTTAATTAAGGGGAAATAGTGATTTTCGGCTTCAACAAATTTGGCAATCGAACAAAAGAGTTCCGCCAAGCTTGTGCAGTGATTTGTAGATCGCCACTGCAGAAGTTCGCCGGTTTGGTGCTAGCAGTTACCACTACGAACAAAGTCGCCAGTTGTGCGGAGGTTCGCACGAGAAGGAAGCCTCGGAGAGGTCTCAGTTCTGGCAGCAGGCGGAAGCTCCGCGGCAGTTATCGAAGCTCTGCCTTCAGGAGAGTTCAGTCCAACGGGAAGTAGTTCTTAGGAGCAGTTCGGATGGGAAGCAGTCCGTAGAAGCCGTTCAGCAGCAGA